TTTTAAAAAATTAGGTTATATTAAAAAATTTAATTATGAAAAAGGTTTTATTGATTATAAAGTAAAGATATATATATATATATAAGAAAAATTAATAAAAATAATTTTTTTTTTTGATAGGATTATGATGATGTTGATCGAATTTTACTTGCTCGACCACATTATGTACAAGGTAAAGAAATATTTGTTACAAAATTTATTCCAACTGAAGAATCAGATACGGATACTAGTAATGAACAATCTGATCGACTTGTAAATAAATTTTTCTTTTTTTTTTTGTTGAATTTGAAAAATTTTCTTTATTTTTAGACATTTATAAATGAAGATGAAAATTTAAAAATTAAATATAAATATCTTGAAAAACAATTTGAAGAATATAAACAAGCTAAAGAAAAAGAAATAAATAATTTACGAAAAGAATTACAACATACAAAAGAAGAATTATGTGATATAACACAAATTAAATTAGATAAATTAATTAAAAATCAACAATTATTTCATCAACAATTATTATTTCATTTAAATCCAAATTCAGATTTAATACATACACAAATGTGTGAAGATTTTCTTCGATCAACATCAAATAAAAAACGTAAAACAACACCAACAACATCATTAATTGAAAATGAATACGAATATTTAACATAAAAACAAAACAAAAAAAAAAGTTATTTCTGTTTTAATTGTATTTTAGTTTTCGTTTATTGCAAATCTTGTTTATATATATATATATATATATTTTTTCTATGAAAAAAGAAAAATAAAATTTTGTTGAATATCTACTTGAATCTTGATCATAGTAATAGAATTAATTTTGAAGATCATTTTGCACTGGTATTTAATGATTAACAATACTATTAAAATCTTGAAAAGAATTCTTTCAAGTTAAAGTTAGCAGGAAACTTCTTCAGCTGCTTCTCTCCTACTTCAATGATTTTTTTTTTGTCTATAGATAACAGATAGTGTCATAATAAAAATTTGCTCGTGTAGAGAACTCAACTAGACTAGCTTGCATTAAGAAATTCACAAGTTTTGAACAAAGTCGCTTTGAGATATGAAGCTTTCAAATGTTGTATACACGCTTCATGAAAAAAGATCTATATCTTGTAAGTATCATATCTCGAAGAGACTTTATTTAAAACTTTTGAATTGCACATTTCTAGTTAAAGTAAGACATTTTACTATAATGAGTAGTTCAGAATTCGTGACTCGTTTTGTATAATAAATGTTCTTGTAGGACTGTCTGTATATTAGTTAAAAATTACAGTAAAATATGCTCTGCATAATAGCTATTAATGAGTCCTACTAGCTAATTGAATAGGAATGTTTTAAAGCTAGACACGTCTTTGATATCTATAAATTAATCGTTAGTATTTGAAATTCTAAAAAATGAAATAATGAAGGAAGTGAGATTTGAATCAATGAATTCGCATTGAGAAACGACTTTGTAATCATTTAATGATTAAATGGATATCGAATACTTTAACTTGATATAATCAATTTCATGTACTTTTTCTGTCTTTAAAAGAGAACAATAAACTTTGCAATTAAAAAATCAATTTTCTACCATTGTGATCTTTTGTAAATGTATTGATTTTATTGTTGTTTTCATAAAACATTTTATTCTAACCATTCTTGATGCACCATATCTTAATAGACACTGCACTGATTTTCTTTTTGATATTCGATTTATTTTACGTCTTAATGAATCTCAACATCGACGAGAAGGTTTTCTTTTTCACGAGTGTAATTCATCAACAATGTAGTTATTGTTCAAGTAGTTACGATTCTTCTCGTTCAATCATTTCAAAATGTGACTTCATTGCTTGAATTCCACTTAATTCATTATTGTATTTTCAACCATTCAAATATTAACGGTTAATTTGCTCGTAAATATGAAAGACGTTTATAGCCTTATAATTTTCCTATTCAATGAGTTCACAAGGTTTATTTATAGTCATTTTACAAAATATGTTTTATTGTATTCTTTTTGCTATAAAGACAATTCATTACTTTTCATTTTCACACTATTGATATATCAAGCTATTCATTTTAAGAGTAAAACTATCATTTATAAAGTTATCAATACTATCGGATCGTCTGTTTTAATCGTATTAAGTCAAATGTGCCTTTTTATTTATTCGACAATGTATATATTATCAATCAATTACTAAAACTGTGTATGATTGTTCGAGCGCAAAAGAAAAAATATCTCAATTGTACTACAACAAGTAGATATGTTTCAGTACTTTGTTAACACTTATAGCACTGCCTATTTGTCGTCGATGCATATCAATATCGAAGAACATTCACATGTTGTTAGTACAATTAAATGGATTGTTTTTTTTGTTGTTATTAAATTTGCAGGTAATACTTAGTGTTCAGTAGCAAACCCTTCTGGTAACCGTCAACTGAAAGTATGACTTTTACTATGTACAATTGATTTAAGATTATGTCAAGATGATACTCTTAATAATCTTTTAGTAGCTACGATTATATCGCATATCTATAGACATACTTCTCGGAATTTAAATCCTATTCGTATTAGTCACCAATATACATTAACGAATTTGTGGCCTAGAGCTATCGATATGTCTGTTTAATATTGACGATGTTATATGTGACAAGGATTTTATCATTCTATCACTGATATTTTCTATAACATTCACCATAGTTCAATGAGATATTCCAATAGGTCTGAGATCGATGCAAGGGACAACGTATATATTGAAAATATTTGTAAATAGAAAAAAAAAAGATTTTTTAATGAAATGTATCAATATAGTTTTTGTTTAGACAAAACTTGATGATTAATTCAAAGTAAATAATATGAAAATATTTATTGTGGAAATTGTTTGGTTTATAAATCTTACGAGAGAAGATCTCCAGGTGTCAAATTGCTTTTCGCTGGAAGCGATATTCATTTGAAGAGTATTAGTAAGTAATAGAAAAGTCTAGAATGGTTTGGTTTTCCAGGTCTGCATTCTTCAGGCATCGAAATTTTATTAAGTCTTTCAACAAAAAGGTGTGATAACGTGAAAAATCGACTTTCGACTTCAAATTTTGCATGAATAAAGTTCTTAATTAGATTAGTTCGTTGAACAAGTTATATCTTTTCTAGTATTTTCTATCCTAAGATATGGAATATTCGAAAGTTTCTCATGTGTAAAAATAAAATTTGTTCATCTTCAGAGATGAAATACTAGAAAAGCTAAAAAACTTTACACAATTAATTAATCTTATTAAAAATATTATTAGTGCAAAATTTGAGGTCAAAAATCGATTTTCCACGTTATCACAGTTTTCTACTGAAAAGCTCAGTAAAATTTCGATATCTCAAGAACAAAGACCTGAAACATCAAACCATTCTAGACTCTTCTATTACTCGCTAGTACTCATCAAATGAATATCGATTCGATCGAAAAGCAATTTGACAATTGCAGAGCTCCTCTCGTAAGACTTATAAACAAAACAATTTTCACAATAACCATTTTTATATCAGAAATATATCTATTTGGTAGTCGAGATACAATGAAAATTCATAGGCTATAAAAATGATTATAAATCATTGAATGAGAATAGATTTCGATCTGATTTCGAATAATAAAGAACTTCCTAATGTATCGAATATCTACTCAATAATTTATTGCTAAATATAAGAAGTTTGAGAAAGAATATGCGAATGGCATAATGAATGAGTTTTATTTCCTATTCACTTCTCAAGCATCAGATAGATAAAATAAGGACAAACATGTGTTCATTTAGTGTTAAAGGTAGTCTACTTCTGCTGGTCTACTATTCTCTCCTATTCGTTCACTTCATATTCATATGTAACACAAGTGAATGAATAGAAAAGAATAATAGATTAGAAGAAAGAGACTGCCTTTTAGCAATAATTAAGTACACGTTTGTCCTAACTTTAGCTATCTGATGGCTGAGAAGCGAATTGGAAATCAGTCCTATTAGTGTTTAGTATCTACTACAAATACAAGTCTTCATCTGAAGCACAAAAATTGGAGTCTGGTATTCTTTCTTCTTCTTTCAAAAAAAAATAAACTATCGGGAAATATCATTAGTATTCATTAAAATTTTCATAATTCTAAGCATTTTCTGAGAATAAATATTTAATATCACTTCTAAACTGAAGAATATATTAGAAAATTAGCAAATCATCAAAACAAATCTCAGTTTTATGTCTGACACATACAGTAATTAAAAATTCTATTCTAACAAATCAAAAAACAACTTGTCAATATCTACGATCAAGAATTTTCTAGAAAGAAAATATCTTTTTCTTTTTTGATGTCGTGCTCAAAATGACATTATTAATTATTGCTAGTAGTTTGAAATAATGAAATGAAATTGTTATATATTATTAACACAGTCAGTCACAATATAAAGAAGTCTTTAGAATAGTTAATAAATGTAGTACACATTACAGATATACAGAATTTCAAATTAATACATTTTCACTTTATTATTTATTGACATTAGAATTTTACTTAAAAACCTATTGAATATAATAACTATTATATATGCATTATGACAAATATTTGAGGACTATGATGAAATGACTCAATCTTTTGAGTCAATTTTGTAAAAATTGTACAAATCAAATCTATCAAGATGTATGTTATTTTAATATAAGTAGAATACAGATTTTCTTAAAATATTCTATTTTATACGTGTTTTTTCGTAAGTAAATAAATAGAAATTATAACATATAATAAGAAAAATTCACATATTTTTATGAAGTCGATATGCATTTAATTGTGTCAATTTTGTTATCTATAATATATATCAGTAACTCATGATAAAATATAATCATAGATCGTAAATATAAAAAGAAAAAAAACAGAAGAGAAAAGAAAATGAGTCATTAGTTTTTCCCTTACTTTATACTTCATATCGTATTTCTTCCATTATTTGCTCCAATAGACGTTTCTTTTTTTTTTTCCTTTTTATTGTTGTTGTAGACATAAATACATTACAAAAACAATATGGCAACATCATTGCCACATGTATCAAAAATTCAAAATCGCGAAGATATTCTCAATAAATTTCAAGTGAATTATTTTTAGTTTCAATTGAAATGTTTTTTATATTTTCTTAGGCAATAACAGCATTAAATATTGATGATGCTATTCATTTTCTTGATCAATACAATTGGAAACTTGACGTAAATTACAATAATATTTCCTTGTTTTGTTTTCTTTTTTTTTGATTGTAAATATTTTTTGTTATTATAATAGGATATTATCAATGATTATTATAATGGAATAAACTTAAAACAAAATTCTAATCAGAATCCAAGTGAGATAATAAAAAAGATAAAAATATTTTTGTTTTCTAAAATGATTTATTATATTAAGGTTTGGGTAGATTTTATACTCATGATGATTTTCTAGAAAAACATAATGAAGATAGTGATCGTCATTATGCTATACTATTGCAGTTATATGGTGATACTGATGAATGGGCAAGACAACAACAGCCACAACAAAAACAACAACAACAACAATCAAAAAACATTATTAAACATACAGTAAAAATTATATTAAAAATAAATAATAAATATTTTTGATTTTCTTTAGCCTATTTATCATGAAAAACAACGTTTAATGAGATGTGGTCTTCATTCATTAAATAATCTTTTTCAAATTCCAAAATTATTTACTCCACATCATTTAGAAAGTATTGTACGAGAATATGATAAAAGAAAATTTTTTAATGATTATCGAACATTATGGTTAGGAAATTATGATTTAAGAATATTAATTGAAGCTATTAATCGTTGTGGTTTTGATGTACGACAAATAAATATTTATAATGGTGAATCAATTTATAATCTTCCATGGGATTCATATTTTGGTTTATTAATTAATTTAAATGGTGATCATTGGTTTACAATTAAAAATCATAATGGAATTTATTATAATCTTGATTCAACACTTCGAAAACCAATACAAATTGGACAAAAAGAACGTTTAATACAATATTTAATTGATCTTATACATAAAACAAGAACTATTTATTTATTTGTTGTATCACAACAAAATAAATGAACCAAAAAAAAAAAAAAAAAGATATTGTTTTCAATGTAATAAAAAATGGTATTACAGTCATCGAGGACTTTTTTTTGTTTCTTATTTTTTTGTTAATTGAATAAATTATTTATGGAAATAATATCATTTTATTTTCATATCAATTCTTTAACATGCTATATATATATATATATATGTAACAGAAGTAATCTATCTTCTCGTACGATAATAGTGCAATGATTTTTCTATAAGATAAAAAAATAATCTAAATTGTTTTATTTTTATTTTTATTAATAATCTTTTTTTTTTTGATTTGAATACAGGAAGTCTTTCTTCGCTTCAATCTTGACATTAATATGTCATTATTAATCAATTTATATTACGTAGAAAATTAATTCAAATTGACTTTTTATTTCTTATCAAGTCACTTAATTCTTTTTCGTTTAAATTAACAAAAAAAATTCTTTCTTATTTTTTTTGTCAATCAATTTCTTGATTAAAAAAAAACATAAAAGATATTTAATTTGAAATATAATTATCTATTTAAAAATAGAAGTTTCATATGAAGCTCTGTTTTTTTTCTCTAAAGTTCAATTAATCATTTCGATGTCAATGTGTACTATACTTTTAAAAAATTCAATAAGTCATATGTTAGATATTTTTTTTAACAAAATCGACAAACCATCAAAATCTATTGAAACTATGCAATATATCTAGTAATAGAATATCACACATTTTAATTGTATTAAATAGAAGACATAATCTCAATGGATCAGTTTTCACCGTCAATTGACTTCCTGATAATACTTTCTTTTGAGCGATAGAATAAATATCTATGATTTATAGAAATCTTGAAATAAACAAACAAAAAAAAAAAAAATCATCGAAGCAATTGCATATTGAAAATAGAAAAGATTTTCTGTTTAACGAACTAGAAAAAAAGAAAAATGAAACGATTGTTTTATTTTTTTTTGACGTAAAATCTTTCATGTTTTGAGATAAAAATAAAATAAGAATAATTTTTTTTTAATCGGAAATATATTATTAATAACTAATGTCGATTATACAAAATGAATGTTATTTTAAGATGTATATGAGGACATTTGCAGAAAAAACAAATAGTATATTATTTTATTTATATAGTCATATTAGCAGAAAATTTTTGTTGTGTTAGTTTTTTTTTTTTTGTCATGACATTTATTTAATATTATAACGACAAAAAAAAGATGATAAATTTGTTTATCTAGATTTAGTATCAATTCCAAATGATTTGATAGCAACTGAGAGTAATAATCATTAATCTTTTATCTTTTAAGGAAATAAAGAATGATGTCAAGGACGATATTTTATTTTTATGAAGTGTTGCAATTTCCGTTTTCTTTTTTTTTTTTATCATTTCTCTATGTAGATTGGACTAAGAGACAAATAACACGAACAACAAATTTTATTCATGTCAATGCGTGATAAGCATAAAAAGAAATAGAGATGTATGCGTGTGTTCAAATGAGTATGTTGATGAGTTAGTTGCTTATCACACCGCAGACTGACGTCACTCGAAAGACAACAACAGATTTCAGTTATTGTAATAGCAAGATGAAGAAGAAGAAGACGACGACGAAGAAAAATAAGAAGAAGAGAGAGAATATAAATTTTGAAGTGCAAAATATATCATCTAAAAACACACACACACACACAGACATACTGAAGAAATAGTAAAGGAAACAATATTTCTATCTTTCTTTTTCTTCTCCGATGTTGTCGTTCTAAGAAAGAGAAGCATTTTTTTCTTCGACTAATGTTATGTTTCGACCAAAGAACACGAGCATCATCATAATCATCTCCACCTGTGTGTATCATTGCTATTAACAACATCTACTTTAGTGCAACTTTATTATAAAACGTCGTCTGTTGCTTCAAAAGAAAATTTACAATGGATATTAAAATCGGCAAGGTGAACATAAAAGAAAAAAAGAATATGACTAGTGATTAAGTAGCTCAATGGAAGTAGTTGTTGTGTTGATAGGGACAAGATGGAAGGATAAAATATAAGAGAAGATTCCTTTCGTCTTCGTCATTGCTAATGCAATTTTAAGATTGAAAATAACCTTCTTATCATTATTATCCTATTTGACTTATTAGGAAGTATTATTTTTCATATGTTTCTTCATTTGACAATAGCATTCGATTCAATGAGTATCTACATTTATTAATTGGATAATATATTAGTTCGATGCTCTATAAATTGAATTACTTTCTTCTATTTTTTTGCATCAATAAATAGATGAAAACAGGAATAGACGATGACTGTGAATTAGATCAGAAAAAAAATAAAAACACCACACCACCAGTTTCTTTCTTGTTTATATATCTGTAGACATTCGAAGAAAAATGCAAAGAAATAGATCAAAAATAGATGAAGTAAGTATGTCTTTGTTAGAATCGATTGAATCATAAATTCAACGGATTAATTTTCTTTTTCTAATATTTTTAAAAAAAAAAAAAAAATAATTCAAAACAATAAAATAAATTAATGTGTCAGTTTTCTATTTCAAATATTAAATTAATTAATCTGATTCTCTACGGAAATATGAAAGATTAAACTCCATTTTATGTTCTCAATTGAACTTCTTGTAATATTATTAATTTCAAATGATTTTTTTATTAATATAATATCTGATACATTGGTTTCTATAAAAAAAAAAAATATGATAACGAGAGTAGTTTTACAAATAAAATTATATATAAAAACAACATGATGAGAACAACAGGAAATGCTAATGTCATTTCTTCCGCATTGCTCTCACTCTCTGTTTTATTTCTTATTCGTTGTTTTTTGCCTGTTACACCTTAGTGCAACAGCTTTAAATGAATTTTTAGCATCAGCGAAGGAAAAGCTTGTCATATTCTTATACTACCAAACTATTCTTCTATATATATATATATTCTTTGTTTTGTTTTTTTTATCATCTATTATTAGTCATAATGTCATAGTATGAGTTTATCCATATGTCAATATTATTTTTTCCGTCATAGTCGATTTTCTCTTAATAGAATTTAAATAAACTATTTTTCTTTTTCTCTAGTCTCAACGGAAAATGTATAGATCATCACATGATTCATCTGAAACTTCTGGACAAATATTAACAGAAGAAATGGTTTCACGATATTTAACTCGTAAACCAAATTTTATTAAACGATGGTTTAAAGATAATGCAACAAATGATTTATTAAATGATTGTATTCAATTAAAAGAACAAAATGAATTTTTACCAAAACCACGTACATCTGTTACACATGAAATGTTTAATAATATTATTCAAGGAAATATTTCAAATCATACAGTATCATCATCAAATTCTCAATTATATGATTATATGCATTTAAATGAAAATGAACTTTTTTTTGAACTTATACGTGATATTGCAAATGAATTAAATGTTGATGTTGTTTGTCATAAAATTTTAACAAATGTTTCAATATTAACTAATTCTGATCGTGGAAGTTTATTTTTAGCACGTGGTCCAAAAGATGCTCGATATCTTGTTTCAAAATTATTTGATGTTACAGCTGGTTCAACACTTGAACAATCACTTCATAAAGAAGATCAACAAATTTTTATACCATTTGGAAAAGGTATTGCTGGACATGTTGCTTTGACCAGAGAATATGTTAATATTCCTGATGCTTATGAGGTAATAATAATAATAATCTTTCTATTTTTAATATGTGACATTTTGTAAAGCACGATCTAAAAAAGGAGTGTTGAAATATAGAGATAAAAATTTGGACTACTTTCTTCTCCCATGAGGCCGTCATGACCATTGTTGATATACGATTAAAGGCCATATAAAAATAATGTCTTGTTATAATTAATGAATTATTTCCTTATTGCAGACCTGGAGGATTCAATAAAAGAATGATGGAAAAATATGTTCCAAAATAGATAGAATAAAACAATATTTCTAGAATTAGCAAGAACAGCTACATCGTGTTTCATATATTAATCCCTCAGGGTATATGCTAACAGCTTTTATATTAAGTTAAAACTATTTTGTAGTAGTAAGATCTTTTTCTAATCATTTTTATAAAGTATTATAAATGAATTATATTAATACATTTTGATATGACTCTTCCCCTTTAAGTGACAAGATAGTCAACATTTTTTTTTTTTTTTTTTTATTGCATGAAAATATTTAAATGGATAAAGATAAAAGTTCTTATATTGATATTAACATGTATAACTAATTTCAATTGAAAAATTTAATTACTTTAATTATTTAAGAAAATACAATAATATCATCTTTATAATAAATGTAATCATGTATAAAAAAAAAATTGTTTTTGTTATTTTTTGATAATACAATATCAACAATAGATGTTTTAATCTAAGCTAATATTATTTCGTCGTTCATATATGTTGACAAATGAACAATATTAATCATTCTAGCATTAAGAATATATTAGCATTTTTCAAAAAGAATAATCATAGTGTTGTATTGACATTATCATCTATATGACATTTTGATCTGTTGAGATCGGAGTCGTAGATAAATATTAAATGAAATATAATAATCTAAGGTCACTGTGCTCCTCAAAAATCGATTGTGAACTAGGTACATTCAAATCGCATGAAATTTTCAGAATATGTTAAGATTGTCGTGAAGAAGCTATGATAAAATTTTCAGCCCTATATCATGATGTTTTCATGAGAGATATTTAATAAACAATGATCACAAATATCTCATTTGACAACAAGAAATTCTTGGAAGATTTTCATTCTATATGCTTCTTTTTCTGTTTGGAAAGACACATCAGGATGCAAAGCATAACAAAGCTCTTTATTTTAATTCTTACTTTTTAAGTGAAACGGTTCAATGAATCAGAAAATCCGCAAAAAAAAAATAGCTCTCTAATTATAAAATTGATCTTTTATATAAAAGTAGCAAAGCTTAATTCAAAACAAGTACTCTACCATGCCCTGCATCTTGACATGCTCTGTTAAATAATAACAAAAAAAAAAGAATTAAATATATAGAATGAAGGTCCACAAGAAATTCTAGGTTGTGCAATCAAAAACATATAAACAGAGAAAAAAAAAAGTATATTTACGAAAATCATGAAAAACTTTTGGTAAAATATCATGTTGTTTATGTGAAAGATCAGACCTCGAGCTATTTTTCTATCCATTTATCACAATTTCGATTTTTCTGACGAAGGAGTGGTCTTAATAAAAACAAAAGAATGTGAGAAAGATTTTATTCTATTGTCGAGAAATTTTATGATTTTTAGCTTTCGAAAAATTACTTAATGATAATCTTTATTAACAATCAGAATCACTTTTCAAAAATCTTTCTAATTTATTTTTCAAAGAAATTCAAATTGGACTAGAATTGCAATATACATTTTATTTTTGAATTTTAATATTTGATAAAAAAATATTTTACAACATTTGAACATTTTTCTCTTTACTAAATTGTATGATAGTAAAAATCATGAAATGCTTCTCTTTTTTAGAATAAATTTTTGAATAATAACTAATTATAAAGAATAAATACAAAAATAAAAGCCTATGTACATGTAGGTATTCCATGCACTTTAATGTTAGTTTCGAATGTAAAATGTAATGCAAAAAACAAATAACAACGTAAGAAAAAAAGCAAATACTCCTCATAGACTAAATTGCTGTTGAAAGGAAATGAAGTTTGCAGTGCGTTAGGGATCGCCGGGCAGTGGATGCCTGAGGTATGACACTTCCTTCCTAATCAAGAAAACTTGTTTTTCAAGCCAAGGCGATAATTTTTTGTACGTTCTCTTAGAGAAAAATCTTTATAGCCTCCTTAAAAGTTGATTGTGCTTCAGGTCAGTCTTTCCATGCGTGTTGAAAAACCTTTTATTTAAATCTTATTGGTCATCTTATATTTCGATAAAATTTTTTTTTCCATAATACATTGATTGGTGTGTAGTACAAGAATAAAATTACTTAATGTCGAGTAACTTTTTTTGACTTTTCCTAAACTGATCAATGACTAAATAGACAACAAATATTTGATGCATCTCTAGAAGATGTAGCCAATTAATATGAACACTTAATGTATATACAACTGGAATATATTCTTCTTAGTTGTTTAAACAGTATTGTAGGAAAATATGTTTTGTTTATAATCTAGGTTTTAGTAGTAAATGAATATTTCAAATCAGTTCTTAGACGAAAAAAATGCCGTAAACCATATAAAATAGTGAAAACTAGCGTTATTAAATCGGCATTTTTTTTATAATTCCATAAATAAAAAATAGTCGTAGAAGTGATGATAGTTTGATAGTGGAAAAAACGACTCGTAAAGTGGAATGACGGAATATAATGAAATTTATTGAAGTAATATTGATGTTTTTTATAGCAGTCTCAAGCCGTGTAGGAAGTCGTTCCTAACAATCGGAACGATCACCCTGAGCACAGTCGTTCTTACCAATAACATACTCTCTTCAATTAGTTCTTTTTTTCCAGGGTACCTGACGTTCTCTTTTAAAATATCGTACTTTACACGTACCCTACGTGAGATCGTACACAACTCATTTAAATTTTGTAATATGGCAGATCGGAACTGAATTTGAAGAAATTTATATCTAATATGATCGTAACATGCATAAATAATGGCATATATGGTCGTTGACGTACTTTGTAGTTATTTATGACATTGCTTTTTTAGCATGTTTAACTCAAAAGTATTAAGCTTTTAGTTTATATGTTTGATTTTTCGTGTTAAAAGTTATATATGCAGATATATATTTTATCTTGATAAACGAATGCAAAAAAAAAAAAATTATGATTAACATGAATAAGATTTTATTTCGATGGCAAGATTTATTTTTAAAAATAGAGAAAAAGCTTCTTTTCTTCTTTTTCTTTTTTACAATAATACAGAAGTAATTGTCCTTTGAATTGCAAAGAAAACAAATGATTCAATTATTTTTTTTTTTGAAGTTATGATCGATATTAAAATAAATTGTTATCGATTTGTTTTTTTGTTGTTTTCAATATCAAAAAAACCAAGAAAATTCTGTTTTTTTTTTTTGATAAGAATTATTTTATTCAAAATCTAATTTATAAAATTGTACAACAAGAACTTTTTTTTGTTGTTGTTATTGGTACTGTTCTCTGATTATTAATATTATTACTGTTATTATTAGTCGTTTCAAATTGATTTTGTTGTTGAGGAGATTTTTTGATTCGTTTATTTTTATCAATACGTCCATCATAATGATAAGATGCTGCTGTTGAATTTTGGTTCGCATGGCTTCGGTCATGGGCAGCATTTAGTCGTGGCGAACGAGTAGTATTTTGTTTATCAGAATTAAATTGATTCATGTGTACAGGTATTGCATAACCTGTACGCATTCTATATTCCACTATATATCGTTGAGCATTGTTATTAGATTTACGTTTTACCATCTTGATGTAATTGAGTTTATCAAAGTGTCTGATTTGATTTTACTTTTTCTTTTTTCGAAAAATAAATTTGAGTATGTTTGAAAATACTACACAAGACTTTTAAACGATGACGCGTAGTTACGTTTCTCTATTGATGTATTGACAAAGTCATTTTAAGAATAATTTTTTTTTTCTTTTCTTTTCTTTTTCTTTTTCTTTTTCTTTTAATAGGATCCAAGATTTAATAAAGAAGTTGATAATAAAACTGGTTATAGAACACATTCAATATGTTGTATGCCTATTTTAAATCGTGATAATGTTGTTATCGGTGTGGCACAAATAATTAATAAAAAAACGGGTACACATGAATTTACCGAGAAAGATATAAATGTAAATTTTATTTGATTTATTTAATTTTGTTTTTTTTTTTTATAATTATTTAATTGTTCATTTATAGGTCTTTCGTAACTATTTAACATTTTGTGGACTTGGATTATCAAATGCACAATTATTTGAATTATCAATTCAAGAATATAAAAAAAATCAAGTAAAAATTTACATATGATATTCGTTTGTTCACATTTTTAGAATTCTAACGTCGTTTTGACAACATAATAACAAAAAAAAAAAGGACTGAGAATAGAGAAGAAAAGAAGAAGAAGAAGAAAAATGAAAGAGCGAGTTGAGTATTCTCGTTCTGTGCTAGTGTATAAAGCAGCACATAATTGTTTCTTTTTTTCCCCCCTTCTTATCCTTATTTTTTGATTCTTTGCGTTCATCATGTTCGTAGAAACTAATTAACTTAGGAATCTGATATATTAAATTTTCACCGAACAATGACAAAGTTTGGTTAAATCCAAAAAAAAAAAAGAAAAAACTTCGAAGACGAAAGACAACATTCTTGTCTAATGTCATTTAGTCGACCAGAAGTGATAGATCAAACAATCGCTCAACTATCATCATCATCATCTTCTTCTGCTTTACAATTGAAAAGCAAGAAAATTTATGATGATGAGCTTATACAATCAAAGAATATGTCATCCAAAAATGAAAGCAAATCTATTAAAGAGAATTTCTCACTTTTAAATAGACTTAAGGTCAGAGTCTTTTTTTTTTTTTTTTTATAAATATTATCAAAAAACAGATCGTACTTAATTGATTGTTATTATAAATTCTTTTTTAAATTTTAGCTTCTTCTCAATTTGGCTCGAAATTTATTTCGTGAACAAGATGATCTCGAACGTTTAGTCAATAAAATTATTACTGAATCTCAAGGTCTTATGCAATGTGCTCGATGTTGTATTTATATAGTAGATCAATCGATTTTATCATCAAATAAACCTGAAGTATAAAAAAAAAAAAAAATTTATTCTCATAAAAATTTAAAATCTTTTATATAGGATATTCATTTTTCAAAAGGATTCGATATGATTTATGGTGAAGAATTTAAAGTAACAACGTATGTAGAAGATAAATTTTATATTAATAAATAAATAAATAAATATTCGTATTTTATTTTCTTATTAGAAATGATTTTCTTGAAAATTCACGTTATGCAAAATTTGCTTATCATGTTGCAACAACAATGGAAACTGTAAATATAAATGAAATATCCAATGATCATGCATTATCACATCTAGTAAAATTAATAATTAAAAAATTTCTTTTAAAAATAAATTCTTCTCTTTTTTTTTTTAGTTAATATCAAATAATGATGATAAATTTGAATTAAAAAATCTTTTATGTGTACCAATTATGGATGATGATGGTCATGTTATTGGTGTTTCACAAGTTATGAATAAATTACATGGACGAGCTTTTACTGAAGATGATGTTGCTATTATTGAAGTAAGATTATTTTCAATATACGAACTAAACTCATTAATAATATTAAAAAAAAACATAGATGAAAATTAACTTTTCAATAGTTTGGACTTTTTTGTTTATTTTTTTGATTGTTTCAATATCTAACTAAATTTTCTCTAATTCTATGGAAAAAATTTTATCGCTATGTAGTTAGATAATTTAAAAAAAAAAGAAAAAGAACAATATATATTGTTTAGGCTTTTTCGGTATTTTGTGGTTTGGGTATACATAATACACGACAATATGAATATGTTGTACGTTTAACAGCTAAACAAAATGTTGCATTTGAAGTATTATCATATCATGCTGTTGCATCAGAAGAAGATGTTCAACGTATGGTAAATGTTTCAATACCTGAAGCTAATCAATTACGTTTATATTCATGGGAATTTAATGATATGATATTAACTGATGATGAAACAATTTTAGCAAGTATAAGAATGTTTGTTGAATTAGATTTATTAAAAATATATCGTATTCCACATGATGTTATATGTCGATGGATGTTAAGTGTAAAGAAAAATTATCGATTAGTAATATATCATAATTGGAGACATGCATTTAATGTTGCTCAAACAATGTTTACAATGTTAACAGTAAGAAGAAGAAAAATGTTGTTCGTTTTTTTTTTGTGTTTCTTTGATAGTTGAATAATATTCTTGACTTTGAATGAAATTAACATCGGAAATAGTCATTAGAGTCGTATTTTTTTTTTCTGTCCTTTCATCTTTAATTCTATTTTAAGAAAATGTTTCTTTTTATCGGATATGAAGAGTTCTTTTTTTTTTTTCATATTATTCATTATTAACTTTGCAATTGTGTTCTCAGTATATTCAAAAACGAAATAGAGTTCAGATAACGGAAGACTTTATTAAATTATTAATAGTAATGAATAGTCTTGTTGTTCAAAAAGGCAATGAATACTTGCCATCAATAGTGTTATGATGACGTTTTTATTATAAGAAATTCTATTATTATTATTATTATTATTTAGGCCGGTCGTATGAATGCTCGTATGAATGATTTAGAACGTATGGGATTATTAATTGCATGTTTAAGTCATGATCTTGATCATCGTGGAACAAATAATGCATTTCAAGCTAAAGTTGATGCACCACTTGCAAAATTATATTCAACATCAACACTTGAACATCATCATTTTGATCAATGTATAATGATATTACAAACAGAAGGAAATAATATTTTACAAACATTAACACCAGATGATTATAAACTTATTATTCATTATATTGAATCAGCTATATTAGCAACAGATTTAGCTCTTTATTTTCGGTAAAAGAAAAAAAACTATTTTATTTTCATTATTTAAAGAATATTTTTTTTTTGTATTTGATTTTTAATTAGAAAACGAGGTGATTTTCAAAAATTAGTTGAAAGTCGTCAAGAACGTTGGATTGATCCTGGAAGAAAAGAGTTACTTAGGTACAAAAACATAAATAAAAAATAAAATTCATTTGTATCTATTCAGAGGAATGATGATGACCGCATGTGATGTAGCAGCTATTTGTAAACCATGGGAAATGCAACAAGTTATTGCTAAACTTGTTGCAAATGAATTTTTTCATCAAGGAGATATAGAAAGAAATCAATTACATGTTGAACCAATTGTATGTGCTTGTTTTTTTTTTTGATTTAATAAATTTTTCTATTTAAGCCTATGATGGATCGAGATAAAAAAGATGAATTACCTAAAATGCAAGGTTGGTTATATTATCCTTTATAGAATTTAGAATTTTAGAAACTTTTTTTTATTTTTCAGTTGGTTTTATTGATTCAATATGTTTACCAGTTTATAAAGTAAAATTTAATTTCCTTTTTTTTGTTTTTTTTATATGTTAATAAAAATTTATTTATTTATTAGATGTTAGCTGAAGTTGAATCTGGTTTAAGTCCACTTTATGAAGGATGTAAACGAAATAGAGAAAATTGGGAAAAATTACAACAAGAACGTGATAAATTAAGTAAGTTATTATAAAAAAAAACTTTAAAAGAAGTGTTGAAGTGTAAAGATTGAATTCTTCCATACATAGATAGACATCTTAGTAATGTCATTGCTTTGTCAGAGACCATCACATATACTTGAGTACTCCTACATTCCATTCTCATAGACGACAACGACATGCATACTAGCGAGATTAAAGTCTATTACGAGATTAGTATGAGACACACAGGTAAATTTAAGATATCTATTCTTTACATTAACATTGACTATAATCATCTTTCATTATCGATATATATAAATAAGTAGGTAATAATTCACAAATTGCAACCTTTGATTGATGAATTAGTTTGTAGAGAACTTCAGTAGTTCTATCGTGTTTCACATTTTAATCTCATACAGGAATTGAGATAATAATCTTTATCTTTTCTCATGTAACAAAAAAATCA